GATATATAGAGAACAAAGGCAAAATTTTCCAATTTTCAATCGTATAAATACTCTTAAGGCTCTATGCCACGTAAAACTTCGAAAAGACAACAAAGCAAAACACATCCTTTGATCGAAGTTTGCTTTCAGTCCGAGAGTATTTTGCACGTGTTGAAATTTCCTAGCCACTTACATTAAACCTCGTGCTTTTTATCAAAACAACATTAAAAACTCGTGCCTATTTCTCCCGAAGCTCATGGCTACATTTTCCCTTTATTTTATATTTTTTTTATAAAGAATAAGTGTGTCAAATTTATTCAAGTGATTACGTACATACGCGAATTTATTTCCTTGTCTGTGTGTTTTATGCGATTTCTATTTATTTGTTTAATATGTATAAAGCTGGAAAATATGGCCCAAGGTTACAAGGTACATGTTTTTTAAATTCAATAAATGGTATTGTATATTTTATGTAAGCACGATTTTTTATATTTTATATGCAATTAATTAGTAATCACGGAAGACCAAATCAGAAAAAAAGTTCAGGGGATCAGTTTAAATGTTTTCCTAATTCTTTAATTCAACTTTTTGAGTTTTGAGTTATTTTCTTTTTTTGGTTTTAAACTAGTTGCATGTTTTTTTTTCTCAAAAATTACATTAGTAGCTAGCTTTTTCTGTTAGCCATAAAAATAACATTTTACTAACGCTTAAAAAAAAGTAATTAAGCTTTAATTAACAAAAAAAAATTACAAAAAAAAATTAAGGCTTATAAGCAACAACAAAAAAAATACCAAGAAAAAGATCCAACATTAGTACATGTAATAATAGTTCAAAAGTTAAAAGCTTCATGACAAAAAGAAAAGCAGAATTGAAAAAGACGTGAACCATAAGGTTTTGTCCTCATCTAGGCGTACTTGGTCCGATGCAGTCACGGATTAGACCACTAGCCCCACAATAATCATTAGCTTGTCATATTAAACTTTCACTAATAGTTAAAATAATTATGTCACTAATCAATTAAATCTTTGATTATATGATTAGGTGGTCGAAAATCGCCAAGCACCTTCCAGGAAGAACCGACAACGAAATCAAAAATTTCTGGAGAACAAGAATCCAAAAATACATCAAACAATCCGATGTAATAACAACAACAACGTCGTCCGTTGGATCTGGATGTTCAGAGATCAACGATCAAGCTGCAAGCACGTCGAGCCATAATGTCTTTTGTAAACAAGATCAAGTGATGGAGACTTATTCTCCTACAACAACGTCGTATCAACAACATCCCAATATGGATTTCAACTACGGTAACTATCCCGCGGCCGCGACCACGACAACGACGGATTATCCGATTCCAATGACCGTTGATGATCAGTCCGGTGAAAGCTATTGGGGTATGGATGATATTTGGTCATCAATGCATTTGCTGAATGGTAATTGATTATAGTCTCGATCGTTTGAAGAAAAAACTTATATATGGAATATTACTTTGAGAATTATGATTTTTAGGAGTACTATGATTAGTCCGTGACATGTACATGTTTTTGCCTCATTGTTAGAGGTTTGGGGATATAATTAATATATGATATTATTTATCTGAAATCGTTTATATATATTTCGAACCTTATTGATGAACCCGTTTGATGTTATACATAAATAAAAACTCATGTTGAGGGTTTCATTTTCTTTTTCGGATATCTTTGTATAATCAGAAAAGTTTGTCTTAGGAATGTTCGTGTCATGTATATATGAGAACACGATTTCGTTTTTACTTATGATTAATTTATGGTACATATAATGTTTGTTATTTACTCCATCATCTTACATTCGTACTTGATGTTTTACACATATTAATAAGAAATCCAATATATTTAACTTACCCTAGTGATTAAAATATTTGTTAGTTAAATTATATAAAAGTGAGTTTAAAAGTGTCTTTGCAGTTACATAAAACTAACAAAACATCAATTTTCATAAAGCACAGAATAAGTCTGATCAATCTGAGAAATCTGAAATCAAGTAATTTCCGTAAAAGTAATTAATGATTGCATGTGTAATCTAATCATTTGTGTGACGCTGAATTTAGTGCACCAACTTGTAACATGTAGTACTTTTCTTTTAACTTATTAAAAGAAAAGCCTTTATCCGCATATCTAACGTCATACTCGACCAATACAATAACCAAATCCATTAAACAATTAATATAACCACATTTGAAGCTATAGTTAACATAATCATACGAATAATAAAGGGTACGAAATTTTTTATGTAATGTTAAAACAGAGCAAGACGTC